TAAGTGACTTGCCCAGGGTCACACAGCTAGTCAGTGTCAAGTGTCTGGGGTCAAATTTGAACTCAGGTCCCCCTGACTCCAAGGCCAGAGCTTTATCCACTGCGCCACCTAGCTGCCCCCTTCACGTAGTTTTTTGAGTGATGTTACAGGTGATTATTGTCAACCCTGCTTTGTGCTGTACAAGTTAACAGTTCTAGTTTTAACCCTCCGGGATTCTAATGGGGTCGGTTGTTGTCCTTTGTTCTCAAAGAGGACCAGAAAGACATCGCTATGTCAGGGTCAAGGTATGGTGTGTCCAACTGTGACTGATCAGACCGTTATAAGCTCGGAATGCTGTACCACAGGTCGGACACAGTTGATATAGGATTCTAATATGATATACTTACTAATCCACACTGACGTTCTCTCTCCCTATTCCCTTCCAATCACTGGCAATGTAAGTGAATCTAAAAAAAAATGGATTTTAATTTCAGTTTCCAGTTTTCTCCCTCCCTCCAACCCTTCCCCCGTCTATTTTGAGGACAAGAAATGTGATACTCATTACATATGTGAAGTTGTGCAAGACATATCTTTCTACATTAGCCATGGTTTTTTAAAGGCAAGGAAAATAAAGAGAGAAAATAAAAATAGGCTTCAATCTGCACTCTGAGACCATCAGTTCTCTATCTGGAGCATTTTAGTGTAAGTGAATTTTAACAGTGGTCTCCTGGAGATAATGCCTCAATCCAAAGAACTCTTTGTGGCCCGGTGGATAGAATGCTGGATTTGGAATGAGGAAGACCTAGGTTTGAACCCTGTCTCAGACATCATACTAGCTGTATGACTGTGGATAGGTTGCTTAACCTCTCTGTGCCTCATTTTCCTTATCTGTAAAATTAAGGGGGTTGAACTTGATGGCCTCTTCTGGTTCCAAATACATGATCTCAAGACTGCAACAGAGGAAGATATTTTCTGGGGGCGGAGGACTTGGTTTCTCCTCAAACAGCATCAGTGCCTATTTGCTAGGGTCAACTGAGATAATATACATAAAGTAATTTGCAAACTTTAAAGCGCTATGTGTTGTTGTTGAGTCATTTTTCAGTTGTGTCTGACTCTCCTTGACCCCATTTGGGGTTTTCTTGGCAGAGATCCTGGAGTGGTTTGCCATTTTCTTCTCCAGCTCATTTTACAGACGAAGAAACTGAGGCAAACAGGGTGAAATGACTTGTCCAGGGTCATACAGCTAGTACATGTCTGAGGCCAGATTTGAACTTGGGAAGATGAGTCTTCTCCTGATCCAGCACTTTATCCACTGTGCCACTTGTAAATGCCATTGATTATCAACCATGAATATGAATGCAGGTGCTCACCCTGGTCATGTGGCCTGTGCTTCCTAACCCATTCGCAGCATGGAGCATGCGTTTTCTCCAAGCCCAAAGCCAAACTGACATACCTTTGACTCGCCTACCTCAGCAGCGGGCACTCCTCTTGGCTAGCTGTTCCTTCTCTCCATGTCTTACGCCCCCACCTTCCTGATGAAGTGGGCAGCCACTTCATTGAGTACTTCCTGCCTCCCCCCAATTCCCAGCAGAGACTCTTCCAGCTTTGAAGGCAAGCCAAGCTGATTTCCAGGCCACATGGCTCTTTTCAGACTCCAAGTCTCTTTTTGGCAAGAAAAGTGTATTCCTCCTCCATATGCATTGATTTGCCAATGCACTGTTTAAGTAATAAAAGCTTAGGAGTCATTCTATCAAAGAAGAGAATATTTCTGGTAAGCACAGTGAATAATTGCTGGACCCCAAAGAGCCTGGAGAAACACGTCCCCAAGTCCAGAAACATCAAGGACTGTGAAGCATCCCCCACTGGTCCTTATTCCTAGCTATTGCACTTTTCACAAGTTGGTATTTATTTCCTGTTGGTATGGCGACCCACACTCCATCTCTTATCACCAGGGGGAAATGTAGTAGTCCCTCATATAGACAAATCCTTTTATAAACGGCTTTTACAGACCCTACATTATTTCCTTTGAACCTCCTACTAGCCATTTGAGACAGGCATTATTTTCCCAATTTTATGTAAGAGAGAACTAAAGCTCAGAGGCTGTAAGTCCAAGACTACGCAAATAATTAGAGGCAGGATTGGGATTTAGATTTCAAGGACCTAGTTTTGTTGGGGTTTTTTTGTCCATTTATTTTTTCTAATGTTTTTTTTTCCAATTATATGTAAGAAAATATTTAACATTCATTTTTACAAAATTTTGAGTTTCAAATTTTCTCCCTCCCCTCCCCGCTTCCTAAAATGGTAAACAATTTGATATAGGTTATATATGTGCAATTGTATAAAACATATTTCCATATTAGTCATGTCGTGAAAGAAGAAACAGACCAAAAGGGAAAAAACACACATAAAAAAAAATAAAGTGAAAATAGTATGCTTCGATCATCAGTTCTTTCTCTGGAGGTGGTTACATTTTCTATCAAGAGTCTTTTGGAATTGTCTTGGATTATCTTGCTACTGAGAAGAGCTGAGTTATTCACAGTTGATCATCATACAATGTTGCTGTTATTGTATACAATGTTCTCCTGGTTCTGCTCATTTCACTTTGCATCTTTTCATTTAAGTCTTTCCAGGTTTTTTTTTGGAAATCCACCTGCTCATCATTTCCAAGGACCTACTTTTGATACCTATCTCTGTCCCTTACTGTTTGTATGACCTTGGACAAGTCCCTTTACTCCCTCTGGGCCTCTGTTTCCTCATCTGTAAAGTAAGGGGGTTGGACTCAATGACCTCTGGGTCCCTTCCAGCTCTATATCTAGGATCCCATGAGCTCATGAACCCAGGTTGTTGCTACTCTTCCCCCTTAACTACACAATCACTCAATATGCAGGGTGTCCCAAAAGTCTTAGTGCAGTTTCAAGCTTTATTAGCTAAAGTCTAAGTTTTTAAAACTTCACTAAGACTTTCAGGACAACCCATTGAACCAATTCTCAATTCCATATTAAAATGGAAGAGGAAAAATATGTCAGATAGTCCCAAATAGCAGACAGTAAAGAAATGTGTGGTGCAGAGTTAAGAGCAAGGAATATAGTCCCACTTACTTCCCTAGGTAATTTTAGGCAAATCATTTAAACTCTCAGGAGCCAATTTTCCTCATCAGTGAAATGGGATTTCCAAAGTCCCTTCTAGCTCCAAATCTTTGATCCTATGATTTCTTGTTATTAATTTTAGAGTTGAGGCATCTTCTTAGAACTTCTTTTAGAATCAGTTGGGGAATGGCTGAACAAGTTGTGATATATGAATGTAACGGAATACTATTGTGCTATAAGAAATGATGAGCAGGCAGACTTCAGAAAAACCTGGGAAGATTTGAATGAACTGATGTTGAGTGAAGTGAGCAGAACCAGGAGAACATTGTACACAGTAACAGCCACAATGTATGTTGACTAACTTTGACAGACTCATCTCTTCTTAGTTACTCAAGGATCCAAGACAACTCCAAAGGATTGATGATGGGAAATGCTGTCCACATCCAGAAAAAGAACTATGGAGTCTGAATGCAGATCAAAGCATATTATTTGCTCTCTCTCTCTTTTTTTTATTTCTTCTTTCTTGTGGTTTCTCCCATTGGTTCTAATTCCTCTTTACAACATGACTAATGTGAAAATAGGTTCAATATAAATGTATATGTAGAGCCTGTATCAGATTGCATGCTGTCTTGGGGTGGGGGGAGGGGAGAGATGGGGAGAAAATTTGGAACTCAAAATCTTACGGAAGTGAATGTTGAAAACTAAAAATAAATTAATTAATTTTTTAAAAATCCAAGATGAATACTAAAAAAATAAAGAATTTTTTTTACAATGCACCATAGAGTAAATTTACTTTCCTCATTAAACTTTGCTCATATTGCTGTTGAAATAAGCTTGCTTTTCCTGAACCCACATTGGTGGACCATGGAGGTGAGGAACCTAGATGCATGCTGATTAGTAATTATGAAGACACCTGGAAGGAAACTCGAGTGGTCATTTGGTCAATCAACTAGCCAATTAATAAACATGTTGTGCCAGGCTTTGGGTATAGAAGTACAAAGAATGAAAAAATGCCTACTCACAGCAAGCTTACATTCCATCCCCTGTACTTTATAGATGAGGAAACAGAAACCTTAGAAAACTCATGTGATTTACCCAAGGTCACAAAGACAAAAGTCAGGATTTGAACTCAGGTCTTGGGTTTGTTGATTCTGAGCTGAAAAGGACTTTATTTTTTTTGTTTTTTTTGTTTTTTTTTTTGCTTTTTGGTGAGGCAATTGGGGTTAAGTGACTTGCCCAGGGTCACACAGCTAGTAAGTGTTATGTGTCTGAGACCAGATTTGAACTCAGGTCCTCCTAACTCCAAGGCCAGAGCTCTATCCACTGTGCCACCTACCTGCCCCTTGAAAAGGGCTTTAAAAGTCATCTTGTCTGACTTCCTCGTTTTACAGATCAAGAATGTGGATAGTGACACGTGGCAGAGCTAGGATTCAAACCCAGATCTTCTGACTCACATTCCAGTGCTGTTTCCATCATGCCAAAGGACCTCCATTTTCTACAGAAAAATCACAAAGTATAGACTCCAATCTATTTCAGTCTAACAGACTTGTGTTAAGGTAGGGCATATGGAAATGTGCAAGTCATTGCTAGGCCCTCAACGCATGAAGAGGAAAACTAAAAAACATTAATTTTCACAGGTAGGAACTCATCCTACCCCCAAAAGCCCTTCCCAGAAATCTCTTTGAATTAAGAACAAATAACTCATTTGCCTGTCTTTCTGGTTGCCCTTGGGGGCAGCTTAGTGGCATGATGGATAGAGGGCCAACCCTGGAGTCAGGAGGACCCGAGTTCAAATCTGGCCTCAGACACTTCCTAGCTGTGTGATCTTGGGCAAGTCACTGTACCCTGTTGGCCTCAGTTTCCTCACATATAAAATGAGCTAGAGAACAAAATGGCAAACCACTCTAGTATCTCTGCCCAAAAAACCCCCAATGGGGTCACGAAGAGTTGGACATGAGTAAGTGACTGAATAACACTGACGTGTCTCCCCCCGAAATTCTGCTGGGCGAAGCTCAGGTCCGACCTCATTATCTCAGGCCAGCTAAGGCTGCTGGCTCACGTCCTACCTGCATCCCCTGCTGATTCTTTCCATTGAGATGCTTAGTCTTTGATCCACTCTCCCTTATTCAGCCCTCAAGCCAGTGGAATATTTAGACCAGGCCTCCTCCTCCCTAGCGAATGGTTTCTCTCTGGCTATCACTAAATAAAGTCCTGCGGTGACTGACATCCCTTTTTTTTTTTAAAGTAATAATAGCTCTTATATCCCTATCATTTTAAGACTTATAAATTGCTTTCCTTATGCAACAACCCTGTGTGACAGGTGATACAAAAAAAAAACATCTGCTCACCAGGTAGGTTGCAAGAAAGATTTCTAATTGGGTACAAGTTGGCCCGGATAGCCTCTGAGCATTTTTTCATCTCTGAGATTCTGTAAAATCATCCCCATTTAACAGATGAGGAAACTGAGAGATAAAAGGACTGCTCCCTTCCCACTCCCCAACAAGGTTATGTAGCTGCTAGGTGGTAGTACTGTGACTTTCTAAATTCAGCATGGTCGCTTACTCTGTTTTGTCCTGTCCTTTCCTCTGCAGTACCCCACCCGTAGGACTCTCTGTTCCAATGACTGGGGGTGTCAAAAAGGGAGGAAGGACCCACTGAGTAAAGGTATCTGTTCTTTCAAGTTCCTAAGACTGGGTGATGGAAAGCTGAGTCGTGGGTGAGACGCCAACACTCTATCTCCTCTTCCTAATTACATAAATGTTTTAAGAGAGGCACGATTCAAACTAGGCTCCTGGTAGTTTAGGTTAAATATTGGAACAGAATGAGATGCTCATGGAACATTGAGCAGTTAACAAAAGATTTGCTTAGGCGTAGCCAAGGAAGGACGTTCAGGACAGGGGAAAGATATTCCATGAGGATAGATCCTTGGTTCAGCTGAGCACAGCTGTCCTATGCTGGTGTTACTTACCCTGCTGGTCGACGGTTAGGAGGAGCCTTAGGGAGGAGCTGAAGCATCTTATGGTCTGGTGGTTTTTGTATTCTGGTCAGTGGACTGAGCCTTAGGTCAGTATTGGGAAAACTAACCTTAACCTGCACAGGAAGGGGCCTTAGGATACTGTTCTCACCACACCTGAGCCTCTGGCAGGAAGGTGCCTTGCCTTAGGTGGTGCAGTAGATAGAGTGCTGGGACTGAAGGCAGGAAGCCCTCAGTTCAAACCCAGCCTCAGATGCATACTAGCTGTGTGACCCTGGGCAAGTCACTTAACCTCAGTTTCCTCAACTATAAAATGGAGATGCTAATAGCACTTACGTCCCTCCCAGCTTGTTGTAAGGATCAAATGAGAAAATACTTGTATAACACTTAGTAGGTGCTTAACAAATGCTTAATTCCCTCCTTCTGTCACTTATCACCATCAGGCCAATAACTCCTCAGAAACCAGTCTGTATTAAAGTCCACTTTCATCATTGCCCCCTCTTGTGGTAAAGCCTGGTAGTGCATCATTCACATCAACAGAGTGAGCATCCTAACTGATGTGGGCAATGTATGATAAGCTAGAAAATGCTCCCAAACACTGCCTGCCCTCAGGGAGCTTTCTTTAGAAGAAGCTCAAATGAATGATCAATTAATAAGAATTTGTTTAATTCTTCAATTATTGTGAAAGCAGACACCATGAAGGTAAGCTCCTTTCTTTAAGTCCCTGCCCTCAAGGAGCTTAAATTCTATTGAAGAAAACAACATGTGCCTGTGTAAGGATAAAGGGAGTGGGGGAGCTATTATTAGCAGCTGGGGGTTCGAGGATAAAAGGTGGCTCTTGTTTAATAATTTGACTTTACTAAGTTGGTACGGATGTATTTTTGTCTGTGTTGTTTCAATTATGGAATTATTATAATTATAATAATTCTTTGATCCACTTGCCAAGTCTACACTTTGAATTAATTATTATCATTTATTATAAATGGACGTAAACCATGTGAGAGGAAAATGTTACTAAAAATGCAGAAGCTCCACATTTGCCCAAAACAAAAAAAGAAAGAAGGAAGGAAAGAAAAGAAGTCAGGGACTATAAAAATGGGAGGTATTCCAGGTGTGGTAGGATTGTGTATGCCAAGGGACAGAGATAGGCAACGCAATGTCAATCAATTAGTAAGTATTTATTAAGCACCTACAATGTGCCAGGCACTGTGCCAAGTAGCAAGTAAAACAATTGGTTGGAACATAGAGTACATGAAGGGGAGGGATGTATAATAAGCCTGGAGAAGTAGGCTGGAGTTAGACCTTTAAATGTCAGAAAGAGAAGTTTTTATGTTTTCCTAAAGGCAACAGAGAGTCACTGGACCTTTTTGAACAAGGTAGCGATGTGGTCAGAACTGGCTATAGGCGATTGACTCCTAACTGGTCTCCCTGACGTCAGCTCTCTTTCTTGCCAAGTCCACACTTTGAATCACCTCCCAATCCTACCCCCATTCTTCTTCTCTGTTTCAGTCTCTGATAAAGAGGTGACCCTTCTTGCGCACACCAACCTCTTTGCTTGTGCCCTTGAACCTATCACATTTCCTATGGCAGATCGCCTTCACAATCATCTGCTGCCTCTCCCTAATCTTCAATCTCTCCTTATCTCCTGGCTCCTTCTCTGATACCTGGAATCATGCCCCAATCTTCACCATCCTTAAGAACACTTCACCTTGTAATTCCTTCATCTTACAACATACTCCTGTTTCACAGCTAACCACCTAGAAGAAGCTGTCTACACTCACTGCCTCCATTTTCTTACCTCTCACTCCCCAGCTCCTTGTAATTTGGCTTCCAAATCCAAGACTCAGTTGAGGCTGCTCTCTCCAAGGTCACCAATGATATCATGACTACAGTTCTCAATCCAATGATCTCTCTGTAGCAACTGAAACTATTGACTAATCTCTCTATCTAGGTACTCTTTCTTTCTTGAATTTTCTTGTCGTTGATCAATGGTGGTTCTCTTCATACTTGTTGGTAAAATGCTTCTTCTATGTGACTGGAAGGATGGTAGTGCCAAAAGAAATTTGGAAAGTGCCACATTTAGGGGGGTGCGTGTGTATGTGTGTGTGTGTGTGTGTGTGTGTGTGTGTGTAGATAATGAGTTCTGTTTAGAACAAGTTGAGTTTTATATGCCTATGGAACCCCCAGGTGGAAATGCCCAATAGGCATTTAGTGATGCAGGATCACAGCTCAGAAAGAAGTCTAGGGCTGGGTATATAGCTTTGGAGTTATCTGCATAGAGTTGGTCACTGAACTCATGGGAACAGTTGAGATCATGAAAGAGAGTATAGAGAGAAGGGCCTGGAACAGAGCACTTGAGTACACCCATGAGTGCATCCACATGGGATGTGGATGATGGTCCAGCAAAGGAGACAGAATAGGATTGGGCAGCCAGGTAGGAGGAAAGCAAGACACACTTTCATCTTTTTTGATGCTTCCATTCTGCTCCATGGAAAAGAACTTCTTGGGTCTTCCTTGGGTTGGTTGATGTAAGTTTCTGTTTGGGTTTAATGGGGAATCTAGAGAAAAGATTTTCTCAATGGCCTCGATTTGAGGAAGGGGAGTTGGGTTATGTGATATCTAAGAGGTCCTTTACATCTCTAAGAATATACGATTCCTACAGGGATTCAGACAGGAAAGTGTGTGCAGTACAATGCAACCCGAAAGACCTGCGAGGTCTCTGCCTGGTGCCCCGTAGAACTAGAAAGAGATCCTCCTCGGTAAGTAAGAAGTGTTATCCATTCTTACCTCCCCCAATATCTTAACAAAGGTGAATTGTAAAATATAGGTTGTTGTAGGTCGCACCTCCCAACTCTAGGGATTCTCTGATTCTATTCCGTGCATAGTAGGTATTTGATCAATGTTTGTTGAATGAACAAATAAATGAATGAATGGATCAACCAGTGACTTGAATCTGTGCCTGCAGTGACAAAACAGAACCTAAGGCTATGCCTGATTTTTGTGGGATCAAGTCAAGCTGTGGCAGCAGGTAGGCAGCTAACATGTACTCTAGACTTACATGTAGACACAGCTAGTCTCTATCCAGAAGCTGCGTAACACAAAAGGTGGAGCCCAGGAAGCATAGAGTCATTGGGGTGTCATAGAGAAAGCACTAGACCTACAATTTCCTCCATCATCAGATCTCCGGTATCTGAGATCACCGTGCTCCTCCATCACACAGAGAAAGTGGATCAAAGGCTCTAGACTCAATTATCAAGTGATAGTCATGTCAAAGGAGTATAGGATAACTAATAGACAGGGAGGTTACCCATTCATGTCTGTACAATGGTGGCGGTGGTGGTGGGGCTTAGGGAAGATTTCATTAGGTAGGCATCCTGGAGAAAATATCTGGAAAGACAGAAGTAGGGGAGTTGGTTTCTGACCCTTCTCAACCTCCAACCTAAGAAACCCAGGACATCATTACAGTACGCTAGGGACGGATAATGAGATGTTAAACCAACATTAAAGATTTATCTACACATGGTGTTGTTTCACTAAGTGCGAAGTTGTTTTCTTTTTTTGAATTCGAAGGAGTGATTGGTCTTGGCTCAAGGAAGACTGGTCATATCAATCCCTGGTGGTCCCTTAAAAGGCTGAGCTCTACAGTTCTGCAGGAGTCTAGGGGGCAAATATCCATAGAGCTGGAACTCTATCCCTGAAAAGGAATCATTTTTCCCCTCTTGGGGGGGGAAGGGAGAGGGAGATTTTTTTCTATCTTCTACTCTGTGCCTCAGTTTTTTCATCTATAAAATGGAGGTGTTATACTAGATGGCTTCTGAGGTCCCTTCCAGTTCTAAACCCATGATCCTGTGAAGCAATTCTAGCTATTTTCTTGGCAGACCTAGCTCTTCTCAAAGCTTATGCCCTTCACCATCCTCCCATACCTCCAGTCCATAATGACCTTTCTTATCTTAGAATCTCACAAACCACTTGGTTTGCACTTCTCTTTGATTTTCCAAAAGATTATTTTGTATTATGGTTCTTTCTGTGTTTGCCAGATCCCCTTACTAGACTGAGACCATCTCATTAACGTTTTTCTCTCAGCTTATCATGGCGCCCTCCTGATAGGAATTGCTTAAATAAATCTTTCTGGATATTGTCAAAGATTTTGAGATTTGGAGCTGGGCCATGGTCATTACCACTCATTCTGTTTCTTCCTCCCAGGCCAGCTCTTCTAATTAGTGCTGAAAACTTCACTGTGCTCATTAAGAACAACATTGATTTCCCAGGCCACAACTATACCACGTAAGTGCTCTAAGTTCCTGACTCAGCTCAAAAAATAAATAAGGTGAACACAACCTCTTAATGAAAATTGGTTTGTTTTTCTTCTTCTAAAAATAGAATTCCATTTTTTTTTTGCAGAAGAAACATTTTACCAGGAGTCAATATTACTTGTACATTTCATAAGACTCGGAATCCGCAGTGTCCAATCTTCCGGCTAGGAGATATCTTCCAAGAAGTAGGAGAAAATTTTTCTGACGTGGCCGTGCAGGTAAACAAAGCCTTTTTGGGGGGGGGGGGGCGCAAAGAAGAGTGCCTGTGCCTGTGATTTCTTGCCTTAAAAGAGTTTGAGTTTAAAGTGGTATAAGGTGAAGACCACCATGAAGACCAAACATATCCACAAGGTGCCATGTCATGGGTTACTCTTCAGTAGCTCATGTCACTACTGCTCCCTCCTTTCAAGATAATGGGAAACAGCACAAATTATTCCACATGTCATTAGGCAAAGGTTTAATGAATAAAATGAATCTAGCCAAGGCTTCAAGCCTGGAAAATTTTCCTAAGACTCTTCATTGGTGGAGAGAATAATGGTGCTATGCTTTGTGCAAAGCCCAGGTTACAACAATAACATCATCATCATCATTAATAGCATTTATATAGTGCTTTAAGGCTTGCAAAGCTAATTTAATTATCCACATAGGGGTGGGGGCAATCCTCCTGAAACTAATGATTAGGAGGAGAATTGAGGACATCGAATTGTATATCACCCTTCTCTATATGTTGTCTCGTCTTTAGGGAGTAAGCTTCTTGAGCACAGGAACTACCTCAATTTTTGTACTGGTATCCTTAGCTCCTAGCATCATGCTTGGCTGCTATTAATCGATGGACAAGTATTTATTAAATGCATATTATGTACCAGACACTATACTAGGAATTAGGGATATAAGTACAAAGAATGAAATAATCTCAACTCACAAGGAGGTTCCATTCTAATGGGCAAGACAAGTATGTAAAAATATATGGTATAAATATTAAGTGAATAGATATACAAACACAAAATAGTTAAAAACAAGGTAGTTCAGGAGGGAGGACACTGGCAATTGGGGCAATCAGACTTCATGAAGGATATGGCACATAATAAACTCTTAAAAGTAATACTTTTCATCCATCCATCCATCCATCCATCCATTCTTAAGAATGAACATTATCTTGTCCTTGTAATATACAAATTAAGGGATTTAGAAAATGGTAGTTTCTCCACAATTAAGATACATTAGAACATCAGTTCTTTGGTGGCACAGACTATTTGACTTTTGGTCTTATATCCCCAGCACTTAGAACAGATGTTTGTCACATATAGGTGCTTGATAAATACTTGTTGATTGATTTGTGGGGGTGGTGTCTTCCTTTTGGTTCAGCTGTACTCTTTGCAGCTAGATGGTGCAGTGGATAGAGCACTGGGCCTAGAGTCAGGAAGACCCGAGTTCAAATTTGTCCTCAGACACTTACTAGCTGTGTGACCCCGGGCATGTCACTTTGCCATGTTTGCCTCAGTTTCCTTTTCTGGAAAATGAGCTGGAAAAGGAAATGGCAAACCACTCCAGTATCTTTACCAAGAAAACCCCAAATGGGGTTAGAGACATAGAATCTCAGAGTTAGAAGGAACCTCAGCGATCACCTAATCCATTCCCTACCTCAAAAAGAATCCCCATTATAACATTCCCGATGAGCGTTCATCTAGTTGTATTGAATGCCGACTGTGCTATGAGGAGCACAGAGAGTACAGAATAAAATACACTCTCTGCCCTCAAGGGTCTTAGAATTGAGTTGAAGACATGGGAAATACACAAATAAGAAGGGGCACTAATGATATTAGACAGCAATGGATAATATTAAACGAGTAGAGTGGATAGTAAATGCCAATTGTGGGGGAGGGTCACTTTGGACTGTGTTTCTTGAGGGAGGGGTTTCCTGTAACTTTGGATCGAGTCTGAAAGGACGGCTGGAATTCAGCTAGTTGGAGAGCGAGATGGAGGACGCAACAAGAAGAGAGCGGAGATCTTGAGGCCATTGTGGGAGAGTGTAGACCAGCTTAGCTGAAGCTGCGGTCTGGTATTGATGACAGTGAAGTAAGCCTTTGCCCTGAAGTAGTTCACATCATCTCATGTTTCATGTTTCCAGGGTGGAATTATGGGCATTGAGATCTACTGGGACTGCAACTTAGACCGGTGGTTCCATTCCTGCCGTCCAAAGTATAGTTTCCGTCGTCTTGATGACAGAACCACCATCGAGTCCTTGTATCCCGGCAATAACTTCAGGTAAAGCCCTACAAGAAGTCAGTAATAACAGGTGGTCGACTTTCCTAGGTTTTGTCGGTATTTCCTGGTACACCAACATGCTAAATTTATCCCCAGTACTTGTCATGGTGCTTGGCTCATAGAAAATAATTCTTTTTTTTGCCTTTTTTTTAAAGGCAATTGGGGTTAAGTGACTTGTCTAGGGCCACACAGCTAGTAAGTGTCAAGTGTTTGGTCTAAGGCTGAATTTGAACTCAGGTCCTCCTGACTTCAGGGCCGGTGCTCTATCCACTGCGCCACCTAGCTGCCCCTCATAGTAAATAATTAATAAATTATCTTTCTGTCTATCTATCTATCTATTAATCTATCTATCTATGTACCTTTTATTGTTGTTTAGTTGTTTCAGTCCTGTCTGACTCTATGACTCCATTTGGGGTTTTCTTGGCAATGATACTGAAGTGGTTTGCCATTTCCTTCTCCAGATCGTTTTACTTTTGAGGAAACTGAGGCAAACGGGGTACAGTGACTTGCCCAGGGTCACACAGCTAGTACGTGTCTGAAGCCGGATTTGAACTCAGGAAGAGCAGTCTTCCTTACTCCAGGTCCAGCATTCTCTGCACTATGGCGCCACCTAGCAGCCCTACCTGGGTACCTCCCTATATAAATTACATGCCAGGAGTAATAACATTTAATAAATGTTTGCTAAATGAGTGAGTCACTAGATTATCTCTAAGATCCCTTCCACTAAACTCTGTAATTCAAAACAACAAAATAAGGAGGAAGTTTTAGTAAACTTTTTGACAGTTAGTGAACTGGCAGGGGATGGAGGGAGGCAGAAGAGTGTGTGTGTGTGTGTGTGTGTGTGTGTTTAATGCTGCATCTTCTGGCTGAATAGTTTTTGATCATCACAGGAAAAGTGAACATGATTAGACATTGCCTGTCAGCAGAAGCTAGACTGGGAAACCATAAGGAGCAATCTGTCAGTTAGATGTTAGTAAATACCCTTTGAGTCCCCAAGCTAAGCCTGAGAACATTAGCTCCCAGGGTGATGTTGAGTTCTCTGGAAAACAGAGACAGGTATTCCACTGCTTTTTACTTAGAATAAATTGTTAGATTATGACTAGACAATGGAGGAAAGCTCTGTAGAAAGAGAAAATGGGGGCATCTGAAAGGTTTCCCCATAAGTTCTTCTTAAAATAATGTTACAAGTTAAGAAAAGCCAGATTATACCATTAATCAATCCAAATCAATTCAATCGAACAAGTATGTGTTAAGTACTATGTGCCTAGCACTGTGGTAGACACAGGGAATACAAAGGCAAGCATGAACTCCTACCTGTCATCAGGGAGTTACATTTTGCTGGCTATCTCCTTACAGGTGGACTCTACAGGTTATGCCATACACTTGAGACACACAGTCTTCCTCGATTTTTCTCAAAAGGTAATGGGGGAGGGGCAGCTAAGTGGCACAGTAGATAGAGCACCGGCCCTGGAATCAGGAGGACCTGAGTTCAAATCCAGCCTCAGAGACATAACACTTACTAGCTGTGTGACCCTGGGCAAGTCACTTAACCTCATTGCCTAGCCAAAAAAAAAAAGAAAGGTAATGGGGGAGGGTCTTGGTCTGCTCCTCCACATTATGGTTCAGTCCCTTGCTGTACCTCTAGCTGCTTGTATGTCAGTAAGAGAGTAAGTTAAAACTGGTGGTCTCTATCTTTTGCTTGAATGTGCTGAATTACCAAACTAGGTTTACATTCAGTTCTGCATCCTAACATATTTACAACTGAAACCATTAATTTAAAAACTATAAAATGCTGTTAAATTCTGTCTGCTTTATTAGTTGAAATGAATGCAGCCTACCTTCAGCCATCAGACTTCTTTCTAATCTTTCAGCCAGTTAAGTTTTTAAAAAGCTATTTTTAGGAAGAAAAATACAGTTTAAAAGATTTCCTTCAAATCCCCAGGGGGTAGGGAGACAGAGAGAGGCAGAAGAAGAAGATGAAGATGTAAGGAGGGAGAGATAGGGAGAGAAGAAAGAAGGTAAGTGGCAAGGGAGAAGAGAGGAGAGAGACAGGGGGAGAGAGAGAGAGAGAGAGAGAGAGAGAGAGAGAGAGAGAGAGAGAGAGAGAGAGAGAGAGAGAATAAAGAAGGTAAGTGGTAAGGTAAGAAGAGGAGGAGGAGAAAGAAAGAGGGGAAAGATATATCTAGAGGGCCATGTACCTTATGATCCCTTAGTCCAGATTCTTGGGTTATGACTCCCTTGTGATACTTTGCCTTGACTCCAAATTCTTCCCTCTTTCCCCTCAAGTATTCTTTCTCTAAAGTGCTGGATCTTGGTATTCCAAGGACTCAGAGAGATAGGGTTCAGGAACTCCCACTACCTGGCCACCTAGCTCTTCTCTCCATGGCTGCCATCTCTGAGGCTGAGTGGGGAAAAGTAGGTGGTCCCTGGTGGGAAGTGGGTGCTGTGCTTATGTACATTCGCTCATCAGGGACCCAGATCTGGCCTACCTCAGTTGTCTTTGGATCTCATGCCAATATGGACATACAAACTACATAAAATAGGAAGGGATTCTTACTATTATGGAAGTTTAACTTTATTGAAATGCTCATGGCAAAGTTCCTTTAAATTTCATGTGGCTTTTCTCCTCTCATTGGAGGGAGAACGGGCTATATGTGGGGAATGTAAAGATGGAGAGAGATGGAGAGAGAGGAGATAGAGACAGATGGGGAAAGAGGAGGTAGAGAAAGAAGAGTGGAGAGAGGAAGAGAGATGATATGTTCAGAGGTGGAAGGAGTGAGAGAGGAGATGGAGAGAGACAGTGAGAGGGAATGAGAGGATGAAGAGAAGAAGAAGAAGAAGAAGAAGAAGAAGAAGAAGAAGAAGAAGAAGAAGAAGAAGAAGAAGAAGAAGAAGAAGAAGAAGAAGAAGAAGAAGAAGAAGAAAGGGAAAGAGAGGAAATGGAGAGAAATGGAGAGGAGGAAGGGAGAGGAGACAGAGGGGGAAAGTTGGAAATAGAGAAAGATGGAGAGACAGAGAAGGATAAGAAAAGGCAGGGGGAAAGAGAAAGGGGAGAGAGAGAAAGAGAGTTGGAGAAGGAGAAGGTGGGGAGGAAAGGAAGAAAGGAGAGGGGAGAGATTGAGGGGAAGATGGAGGGGAGAGAAGGAAATTGAAAGGAGAGAGAGATGAGGAGAGACAGAAATGTTTACGGTCTGGCCTTTGAAAGCAGAATTTTACAGACTACACAGTAACTATTACATGTGCAAAGCCAGGCCTTGATCCACTTAGAGGGTAGAAATCTGGTGGACCAAAGGAAAACAAGTTTCTTGCATGGCCATGAAAACAAGTTCCTGGGCTGGAGAGCATAGATCAGATTATTGAGTGAAAGGAAATGAATTTTAAACTGAGATGCACTTTACTACAGCCTGACACAAATACACAGATGACTCAAACTATACTTTCTGTATACCAGCAGAGGGTATATTTCTTATGATCCCCCATACTCATCCATTTTAAGCACCTACTATACATTGAGCACTGTGCTAAGGAGTAGGGGTACAAAGAAAGGTGAAAGACAGTCCCTCTTCTCTAGGAGCTGGCGACCTTGAAAAGAGAGGGGGAGGTTTGCTGAGTTGGGCAGCCAGGGTGGAAAAGATCTGAGGAGGTGTGGGTGTCAGAGTGGATTTCATCTTGCAGAATGATGAGTTTCTGGAAATGACGGAGTCTAGGAAAGCAGCCAAGAGTGGGAAATGATCAAGATTCCCTGGCCACTCTCCTTAAATGCTGGAGGGTCAGATGGGAGCTCCCAGGTGCCCACACTGCCGCCTTTCCCGTCCATCCTCTCCACACAAAGAGAGACAGAGAAGCCTCAGGGGCAGGGGTTGCTGAGGATTTTGAGCCTTGGAGTGACCTCATCTTCCCAAGTGATACATTTCTGGAGATGACGAGAACCAGGAAAACAACTGGATGAGAAAGGATCCTGTTTTTGTCTATTATTATGAGTTGAAGGAACTTGTCAGGCAGAAGTCAAATGATTCACCCAGGACCACATAGAGCTAATAAGTGTCTGAGTCTGGATTTGAACTCAGATCTTCCTAACTCCAGGCTCTGTCCACTTGGCCTCCAGCTACCACTAAGGCAGATCTCCCTCCCTCCCCCACTCCCACCTTGGCAGAAGGCATTAGAGAGTTTTAGTGGCTGGAAAGTTGCTCCCCCGCTGCAAGGCTGGTGACCAATGATCCTCAGAAACTGACCTACATATACCCCACTACTGTGTCCAAAGTCCTTAGCCTTCAATGCTCACCAGGACTTGCTTTTTGCTGGCTTGGGGTCTGAGAATCTTGGGACTCCTTTGGCGACTCTAAAAGACTATCAGAATTATAAGAAGGGCTGCGATTTTGGGATGGATGGAAGGAGTGCCCACACACATAAATACCCACAAAATCATGGATGCCTGAGATTGAATGAGTCACAACTGAACCAGAAAATGGACTGTCACTTATTACCTATGTGACCTTAACCTCTCCAGGCCTCAGTTTCCCCATCTTTAAAATGAAGGATTTGGACTAGATGATCTTGAAGGTCACAGCTATAAATCTATGACCCTATCATTGTGTCATTTAACCTCTCTGGGCCTCAGTTTATCCATCTGTAAAATGAAGGAATTGGGCTATATGGCTTCTGAAGCTACTTCTCGTTTGAAATCTATGTGTAACAAAGCAGGACAGACTTTTCCTCCCTTATCAATAAATTTTTCACATTTTGCTAACTGTATATTCTTTCTCTCTTGTAGATTTGCCAGATATTATATGGAAGGAAATACAGAAAAACGAAATCTGATCAAAGCTTTCGGAATCCGGTTTGACATTCTGGTCTTCGGCACAGTAAGCATCTCTCCTCCATCCATCCCCCGTGCCCAGTTATCCCTGGAACTGCTCAGAGGAATGAAGTGTCTCTATTCCTCCGGGCCACAGTGGTTGCCTTGTATTTCGAAGGTAGAAAAATGATCAAGGAGGAAGAAATGCCCTGTCTATGAGCAGGTCAACTGAAAGCAGGGAGGGTGAGAAAATTTTAGCATTCAAATGAAGAGAATTCAGCTGATGAGAATTATTGTTTATTTACACTTAAGGCATTCCTATTTGCCAACAATTTAATGAAAATGTGAGCTCCTTGAAAGCAAGGGCACTTACTTTCTCTTTGCATCCTCAATGCTTGGTACACAATAGATGAGGATTGTAGACCTATGCTTGGGGCAGCTAGGTGGCGCCACAGTGCACAGAACATTGGGCTTAGAATCAGGAAGACTCATCTTCATGAGTTCAAATCTGTCTTCAGACACTTACTAGTCACTCAACCCTGCTGGCCTCAGTTTCTTCATCTGTAAAATGGGCTGGAGAAGGAAATGGCCAACTACTCCAGTATCTCTGCCAAGAAAACCCCAAATGAGTTTATGAAGAGTCAGACATGACTGAAAACAAGTGAACTGAGACCCATGGTTGGGGAACTCCAGGGTGATAAAACTCCCTTTACTAATGCAAGTCAGCACTTGTAGTCTTTTTTCTTTCTTTTTCTTTTCTTTTTTTTATAGTGAGGCAATCGGGGTTAAGTGACTTGCCCAGGGTCAAACAGCTAGTAAGTGTCAAGTGTCTGAGGTCAGATTTGAACACAGGTCCTCCTGACTCCAAAGTCAGAGCTCTATCCACTGTGCTACCTAGCTGCCTCTGTAACTAGTAGTCTTTTTTTTTTTTGGCTAAAAACACCATCAATAACTCCCATTTTCTTTTTTGTTTTGTTTTGTTTTGTTTTTGTTAGGCAATAGGATCAAGTGACTTGCCCAGGGTCACACAGCTAGTAAGTGTCAAGTGTCTGAGGCCAAATTTGAACTCAGGTCCTCCTGACTCCAGGGACAATGCTCTGTCCACTGTGCCACTTAGCTGCCCCAACTGGTAGTCTTAAAGAATTGAAAAGTTAAGTGACTTGCCCAGGTTCACACAGTCAGTATGTATCAGAGGGGACACTTGAAACCAGGTCTTCCTAACTATTAGACCAGTTCTTCATCCACTACCCACCCTCCCCCTGCTGCCTCTCATGAACTATTAATGATGATAATAATAACAACATAATTATAAATTATTTATTATGGCTAATAAATAGTCATATTATTATATATAACATTATTATACATTGTTATTTTATATTACATTATATTATACCATCATTAATAATAGTTATAGTTAATACTTAAAACACTCCTATGAGGCAGACAGTCCAAATACTAGGTGGCATAGTAGATACAACACTGAACTACAGGAAAACCTGAGTTTGAATCCTGTCTCAGACTCTTACTAACTGTAAAATGAGAGTAATGATGGCTCCCACTTTCAAGGGTTACTGTGAGAATCAAATTATATAAGCTATGTAAAATACTTGACAAACCTTAAATCAGTATAGAAATGCTCACTAATATAATTTACTACTGTTGTAGAGCTGAATGTGTACTGACTAGCTTGAATGTTTATTGATTGACTAACCAAAGACATTAAGACTCAAGGCTGATGCGCAGAACCAGACAGTTAAATGTGTCTAGTCAGTAGGGTGCAAATGAACCACCAAAAATCAAGAGAAATGGCCCTTTCTCAGGGGTCTTTAATCTTTTTTGGGTACTGGACCCCTAGGGTCTAGCCTAGGGACTCCTCAGACTCCTATTTCTAAACACATTGAGGACAACTAGGTGGCAAGGTGGATAAAGTGCCTGGCCTGGAGTCAGGAAGACTAATCTTTGTGAGTCCAAATCTGGCCTCAGACACTTACTAGCTGTATGACCCTGGGCATGTCACTTAACACTGTTTACCTCAGTATCCTCATCTGTAAAATGAGCTGGAAAAGGAAATGGCAAACCACTCCAGTATCTTTGTCAAGAAAACCCCAAATGGGGTCACAAAGAGTCAGACATGGCTGAAAAATGACTGAACAACAACAACAAACATAAAATAAAGTACTTAAAATTACAAAGGATAACAATAATATTGAAATATAAACGTCCACAAATGTATAACCTCTATTTGATTGTTTACTGCCTCAGGGAAGTGGGAATGGATACAGGGAGGGATGGAGGGATAGAATCTGGAACTTAAAACTTTAAATAAAAGTGTTTAAAAATTTTTTTAAAATAAAGAATATTGATAAAAATACAGGCATCAAAATAATAAAAATTCCAAGTTCATGGCCTTCCAAATTCTGTCCCTGGCCCTCAGGTAGAGAACTCCCACTTTAGATCTATGCTTCTATGATTTTAGGAACCCCAAAAACATGAGCAGGAATTTGTCCAGACACACGCTTCCTGACATTTGCTATTAGACCCAAAGGAAGCACCTTGGAAGTTCCACCTTCTAACTGCAAAGCAATCGTTCTGGAATGGCCCTCAGCTCCATTTCTGGAGGATTCAGGTATGCTCAGGACATGCCCGGGGCCATTCCCAAGCTGGATCACAGGAACAGAGCTTATGGAAGTCAAACAGTGGATAAGCTTTTAATTGAAGGAAGCGTGACTCCCATGTTATTGTGCCCATGTTATGAGCGTTTCAGATGGATCTTTCAAATCATGATGCCTTAATTCTGTCACATAACAGGTATCTTCATTCTGCCATCCATCAATGGCAGTTACGATGTCAGAGTGTGACTGCTTCCATTCTGAATTTTAAGTTAACATGTCCCATTTTGTTTAAGGGAGGAAAATTTGACTTTATCCAAGTGGTCGTGTACATTGGATCAACTCTCTCCTATTTCGGTTTGGTGAGTATCTCATTTCTATAAGTCTTTTTTTTTTTAATGCTTTGATTTGTTTTGTTTGGCTATGTGATTTCATCAGTTTAGGGAATTGGGGTGAGCAAACTCCCTTCGCCAATGGAGATTAGCAACTTCTCTTAAATTTGCTAAGATTATGGTTGTAGACAGTAACAGCAACATTGTGCAATGATCAACTATGAATGACTTCTTCGCTTTTCTCGGCAATACAATAATCCAAGACAGTTCTAAAAGACTCATGACAGAAAATGCTGTCCACATCCAGAGAAAGAACTTTAGAGTCCGAATGCAGATCAAAGCACACTATTTTCACTTTTTCTGGTGGTTTTTCCCTTTTATTCTGTTTTTTCTTTCACAACATGACTAATGTGGAAATGTTTAACATGATTCAGATTGCTCGCTGTCTTAGGGAGGAGGGAGAAGAGGGAGGGAGAAAAATTTGGAACTCGAAATTATATAAAAATGAACGTTGAAAACTCTCTTCACCTTTAATTTTAAAAAAATATTATTTACAAAAAAAAGACTATAGTTGTAGAGGGCTGTGTGGGGCACTGAGAACTTATAGCTAGTAAGAACTGGAGGGAGGACTTAAAACTAGGTCTTCCTGATTCCAAAGACAGCACTCTCTCTGCTATGCCAAATTGATTTTCCAGACATTCAAAGACTATTTGGTGAAAGAAGAGCTCAAACCTCGTTACATTTTCCCTAGGCCACAGTGTTCATCGATTTTCTCATTGATACGTACTCAAGTACCTGTTGCCGATCTCGTGTTTATCGCTGCTGTCCGGTCTGTGAGCCCTGTGGGGTCAATGAGTACTACTACAGGAAGAAGTGTGAGACCATTGAGGAGCCCAAACCGGTAAGGGATGGATACCATATTTCCCTTAACTATGCAAATGTCAACATAATGTTCGACATTGGTCAACTCAGTAAAAAAAAAAATCAAGTCAGTGATTAGGTACCATGCTAATGGTGCCAAAGTCACAAGTTCCAACCCTATGTGGGCCATTAAACTGCACTCTGTTGCCAGGAGACTATTCCTTTAAGCATAGCCAACTTTCTCTTAGGAGTTTGCCAAGGCTTTAAAAGAAACCCCCTCCCCACAATAAAGTGGGGAATTAAGGAGCAGAGACAACAAACTTCACTGATTATTTCATTTGGTCAAGGGCCGGCTGGCCGAGAATCAATCACATTGAACCCTAGTTACGGATGAGTGCCCAAAGAATTACTATTCAAGACTTCAGCTTTGAGTTTCATTATCCCCCTTCTTCATAGCCACATAACTGGCACTTTAGAACAGCACAGACAGAGCATTCCTTTGTTTTTTCAATATATCTGTCTTTTCCCTGACAACACTGTTCCATGCACAATTTGTTGACTATTGTACAGAATTTTAAAAACTGTAAGAAGAAATTCATCTTCAATGCAAAAAATCCCCCACTAGCTTATGACGTAAAATAAGATGAATTGCTTAGGTTTGCTAACTTATTTTGTAATATGGTAATATTGTTATTATTATAGTAATGCAGTGGGAGAGTGAGATCGAAGGGTAAAAATTACCTAAGAGCAAGACTTATTTCTCAAAGCTTTATTGTCGTAAAAGCTAACGGAACCAAGCAGTGTCAGGAGGCTGGCTGGTTGGCTGGAAGGGCAATGGGGACTGCTTATATTGGAGCTGAAGGGGGAGTGACTTATAGAAATTTGCAATGATGTAATCTTCGTTGCTATGCAAGCAAAAAAAGACTTGTGCCTGCGCTTTACTGGGTCTTCTGGGTGGCTATCAAATAGCTATACTTTCACTCTCGAGAGTCCCTTCATTATCATATTCATGAGATGTTAATGAGGGCTTTGACATCACAGAAGTTACTATCGGGCAGTAAGGAGTCTCATTGTGCTTTCATGGTCTTGGGAAAATCCCTTGACCACAATGTCGCTGGTGATAGGGTGAGCTGAGAGTCCCTACACCACAAAGTCGTGGGTGGGCTGTGGAGGGGTAAGGTTGTCTATTCAGCATATGGGGGAAGTAGTTGTCTGCTCAGCATATGGGGGAAAGGGCTCAGTATATATGGGGGCAGGACAGGGCCTCGTTGCTCTGGAGGAAAAATAGGACTTTGTTGCTCTTCATTTTATTATATTATATTTGCTTTCTAATATTTTATTTTGCTATATGCAAGTCTTCTGGAACTAGTCACATTAGAAATTACTGATAGCTGAGAAAATACAAATGATTTCAGAAGTTTTTAAGGGATGCTTGAGAATAAAGCTAATTTAGGTCATAAGCACAAGACCTTCCAAAAGTGTGGTCCAGGGGATGATTTCTGAGACTAAGAAGATGTCTGATATGCATTTCTGGCTCATGGTTGAAGTGGAATTGACAGAAATAATTAATTTCTAGTGGGCCCCAGGATATGGACAGATAATCAATCAATCATTTATCAAGGGCTTATTATGTGCTGGACCCTTTGCCAAGTTAAGATATAAATAATACTCCTCCCTTCAATAATGAGATATTATTTGTAAAATTATTTAGCACACTGCCTGGCACTTAGTAGACGCTTAATAAATGCTTCCTTCCTTCCCCTCCCTCCTTTCCTTCCTGCCTTCCTTCCTTCACTCCTCTCTCCCTCCCTCCTTCCTTCTTTCCTTCCTTTCTTCCCTTAAGTAATGTTGATATACTATGTCAAACAGGCAATCACAACCTCATGAGACTTACATGAAAACCAGGTTTATTATAAGAGAAATTAATATGCATGTGGAACCCAAATCGTTCACAATCCATACAGAGGTTTCCATATTTATGACAGCAGGACACCAGGAAGCTCCGTCTAAAGGGGCATGGCACTAGAGGGGAAAAGGTACAGTAAAGGTGGGAAAAGGACAAAACCCATCTCAAAGGGGAGGAGCAAAGTGACTGGCAAAAGCCAAATTCTCGGGACAGCTAAGTGGCACAGTGGATAAAGCGCCCGGAGTCAGGAGGATCTGAGTTCAAATGTGGCCTCAGACATATAACATTTACTATCTGTGTGACCCTGGGCAAGTCACTTAACCCCATTGCCTAGCCAAAAAAAAAAAAAAAAAAAAGCCGAGTTCTTTTCCCTTGAGAACCCCTAGACTATGAAGAGAGGAGGAGGGTCCGCTTATCTGCAGGGTCCCAACTGCACAAGCGGTTTCTCAGCCTAGCACAGACTGACTGGCGCCTGTCTTGACTCCCAGGGACACACAGGGAGTCCAGTTTGGGATGCAAACAACAAATTATGTCAGCTGGGGGCGGGGGGGGGGGCTGTCCTTGACACATTCAGGGTTTCCTCCATACACTGGGGCCAGTGTTTCTAGAAAATAAGGCCACTCAAAAAGGGACCCCTTAATAGCCCTTAACAACTACGTGGTCATCATTGTGAGGAAATCATTTTATCTTTCCTTTTCTTTCCCCCTAGACTTTAAAGTATGTGTCCTTTGTGGATGAACCCTACATTCGAATGGTGGACCAGCAGTTGTTGGGGAAAAGTCTGCAAGAAATGGAAGGTGAAGAGGTTCCAGTAAGTTAAGCCATTTATATTTATGCTTAGGGATTGGCTTATTGGTTTGAATGAGACAAACAAAGACAGGTCATTGCAGAAGTTTTAAGCTTTTTAAAACCTTAAACATGAACTAAGACTTTTGGGACACCCCATACATGTAAAGTGCTTTGCAAACCTTGGAAATATTAGCAATTACTTTTCCCTCCATCAAAAAATAAAGCTATAAGTAGTCTAGGATAGAGTTAGATGAATGGAAGTATGGCTGTGTGCTTTGTGGGGAAGAGTCTTGCTTCTCAAAAATGGATTGTCTCTATTCCTAGGACATGAACCATTTTCGGTTGAGTTGGTCTTCGCTGAATGGGTCCATCTTGACTTCTTGATAGATTTCTTCCTGTGGCATATTAGATAGGGCCTTAAACTTGGAATTAGGAAGTCCAACATTAGATATTGACTAGCTGTGAGAGACTGGGCTAGGAACTAAACCTCTCCGTGCCTCAGTTTCCTCATCTGTAAAACGAGGCCGTTGGACTGTTTGGCCTCCAAGGTCTCTTCCTGCTCTAAGCCTATGATGCTTAGGAGAAATTAATTACAAGAGAAATTAATATGCATGTGGAACGCATGCACCTCCTTCTTCCCTAACCCTGCCCTTCCTTCTCACTTCGCTTTTTCTAGGAATGATTGTACCATCATCCTTCTCCAAATCAAGGTTGAAACCTCAGTTTTATTTATTTACTTTTTTTGGTGAGGCAATTAAGTGACCTGCCTGGGGTCACACAGTTAGTAAGTCTGAGACCGGATTTGAACTCAGGTCCTCCTGACTGCAGGGCTGGTGCTCTATCCACAGCACCATCAAGCTGCCCCTCAGTCAGTTTTAATTCTTCCCTCCCTCTCCTCTCACTGCTTCTAGTTGCCCAATGTTGTTGATTCTACCTCCCCAGCAACCCCCACATCTATTCTCTCCCACTTCTCCTCCATAGTACCACACCCTTTGACACATCTTCCTTAGACTGATTTCACAGTTGCCCAACTGTGTCCAGATGGTGACCACATGAGAGAATTGTGCAATTGACTGAACCACAAGGACTCCATCTTGTGACGCAAATCTGGAACTGTTTAGTTCTCCTTCTATTCAGTTACAGATCTAGTCCAACTTCTGTCTTGCAAGAAAAGTTATTCAATTATGGGAATTGTGAGAAAACTTTAATGCATTGTTTGAACCTAGCCTTGCGGGGCTGGGAAGCTGGACCACCTCTCCCTGCTGCCTAGAATCCTTAACTAAGGACGGAGGTTATGCTGACCAGAAACCCAGTCAGATCCAAAGATTGATGAGAGGAGTTTTCTCACAATTACACATTTCAAGCAACTCATACTTCTTATCTGAAAACTGGTCCCATACTTATTAATCATACTTATTCCTTTGATTAAATACAGATATTTGGAGGAGAGTGGGGCATCTCTTTTTCTGATTTCAGGGAATTGCACCTGTTTCCTCTCTCCCTCTCTCCTGACTCTGAAAGCCCCTACTCTTTTCTCCAATTAGGAATCAGATAACCTAATCTCGTGTTCTGGTTCTGTCGGACTCTCCATGACCCCATTTGGGGTTTTCTTGGCAGAGATACTGGAGTAGTTGGTTATTTCCTTCTTCAGCTCATTTTACAGATGAGGAAACTGAGGTAAACAGGGTTCAGCGACATGTTTAATGTCACACAGCTAGTAGTGTCTGAGGTGGGATTTGAATTCAGGGAGATGAGTCTAGGCCTGGCACTCTATCTATTCTGCCATCTCCCTGGTTTATATCCCATTGTTTTCTTTCTTTCTTTCTTTCTTTCTTTCTTTCTTTCTTTCTTTCTTT